TTCCAGGCAGCAACATCCCTCATCCTGAAATATGGACAATGGGAGTCAGCTACATTTTTCAAAAGCTAATTCAGGTTTGCCAGATGAGTCTTCTGGGGTTCACTCATCTTGACTTCGTTCTCCTAGGAAGAGAGACTGGGTTCTCTCCACCCAGACTCCAGCAGGACTCTCTCAGTCCTACAACATTTTATTTTCACTATTCTACCCAGCAGCCTCCCATCTTTCATTCTGAAATGTGTGGATAACACACACAGCTTCAACTTTTCCCCCGGGGCTCCCTTTTGTTTCACCAGAGTGGCTCTCTACAGCCACTCTGCTCCTACAAGGTACAAATGAAGATGTACATTGAAAACCAATGGGGACAAATCTCCTGGGGACACGAAGGCGTGGAATTGTGTACATGGACATGCTCTTGCTGCTGTGGTATCACTGATTATTTGGGACAGACACCACTGCTGCCTGGCAAGTTACATCAGTAGCAAGGGAGGAAGGCATTCAACAGCCCAACAGATTGGTTAGCAAATCCCTCATGGCTTTTTAACAATGACCCTCTGGAGATCACCACCTCTGCCTCAAGGGGGTCCGTGCAAGCTGGGAAAACACCTCCTTGCTGAAGACAGCGGCTATTCAGTGTGTTGCCTCACATCCACACATCTTTGCCACCTACTGTGCTGGGGCTTCTTTGGCCAAACAAACTTACAGCAACATTCATGATGCCATTCCTCTACTGTTCGGGTCGCTAGTTTTAATGCAGAAAAATATAAGCAGCTGCAGGTAATCCAGAAATAATGACAAAATAATCACTGGCTGCTGCCTTGCAGCAGAAGTACAATTTACAGGTATACAGAAGAATTAAACTGATTTTTTTCGAAGGTCTTACAAGTAGTTCAAAAACATGTATAATTTGTTATACTTGGAATCTATACCCGACAGGGAGAGATTTTTCTTTTTTTTTTTCCTACGACAGTAGCAGTAAGTAGAAAAGATGTTTGTTCTATTTTAAAATATTGTGTATACTACAGATCATTATCAAATTCCTACCTGGGCAGATAATCGACGTAGCTGGTAAGGAAACATTTCAAATTTGGTGCCATAAAGAGTGATTCATGTTTACTCAAAGGTTGTTCAGTAGCAATAAAAAGCAATCATGCATTCAGAGCTTGTGAAGATGTAATATAAAGAAGCACTGCCCAGAACAACAGGGCGCTTCCCATTTCACAAGAGAAGGAACTAGTGACAAGGATCTTCTCAGCACAAAGCTCCTTGGACTTAAAATGCTGTTAGAGGTGGAGTAAATATGATGAACCAAAACTTCCAGAGGATTTGTAGCACCTGATAGAAGATCTTTCATTCTATTGCAAGACTTGGGATTTCAAAAGACATATTATCCCATAATTGCTGAGCCTGAATGGCAGTGAGGGTAATAACCATCAGTGTCAAAACCAGTTCCATCAGGTGTGACTCACCTTGATAGGTCAATACCTCTGAATGGAAATATCCAGAAAGTTGTGGATGGACAAAATGCTCAGAAGACTCTTGTGTGAGGAACACTTTCCACTCTCCCTCTCTCTTGTGAAAGAGGAGTGAACCTAATCACCTAAATCACCTAAATAATCAACAGGAGCTGCTTTTGCAAACTGCACCAATAACTCCTTACCACTGTCTTCTGTTAGTGCAGTGTGCCTGAGAAAAATGGTGCCATTTATGACTGACAGTATGGGTCAGAAAATGGTCACTTCAGTGATCTACTTCATGTACACACTAGAGAAAAAAAAATTATAATAATAAAAAAAAACCCCACAGCACAAAAACTGGGAAGATATAAGTAATAATTAAAAAACCCAACCCTGAAGAGTTAGCAAATTCTGATCTGATGGTGATTGAGACTGGCAGCTGAGCTGGCAGCAGGACACTTGTTTGCATTGTCTCTAAAGTATTTGGGGAATCAAGTGGTAATCGTGTTTGTAGCAATGTTAAAAATAAGTTTTTGATTCCTTTGTGCATTGGCAGTCTATCTGCAGCACACCTGTGTGACCATGGGGACATAGGCACTTTTACAGAGCCACGGCCAAAGGTGATATTCGCATGACTGAAGCAACTGGAAGTCACCTCAGGGCTGATACGTGCTCCAAGGCGTGCCACAGCAGCAGATAACAGCAGGGCAGCCCAGCAGCGCACTGCGGGGAGAAAGAGGGAAAGGGGAATTGCTCAGAGCACAGCTGCCATAGCCACTGGAAATGGTCAAAGGGCCAGCAAATGGCTTTTCAATTCTTAAAAAAAAAACAAAACCCAAACAACACATGGATAAAGTCTTCTGAAAAATGAATTTAGATGTGTATGTGTATGGAGAGATACACAGATACATGTGTATTATCATTATCTGCTATTCTTGTCCAAACTTGGTCAAAGGCCAAAAATTCTCCCAAACATGGTGATGGAAATTGTCAGTTATGATAAAATGCTCAGAAAATTGCTTTAGACTGTCATTTGGATGCAGCAAATCAGTCCAAATGTTTGAGGTTTTAATTATTTCTCAAGTCGAAAGCAAACAAAAAATATAAGTTACTGTTGTCTCATACCAACAAAGAGGACCATGTTTGTGAAGTCATTTGCAAAGATCAGTTGAAGACAATTTCAAATCCTTTTACAAATGTGGAAATCAGAGAATGCCTACGGGTTACCAGATTTGGTTGTAGGTGCTTAGTGGGTGCTGTTAAATGCGTATGAAAGGAGCATTTTCAGGGGCAAAATAACTTTTGTTACTCCAGTAAGATAGTCACAATTCCAGTAAGAGAGAGGTGGTACTGGAGGATTAGTCCATTGGTGTAACAGTAATTTCAGAAAATTGTGGTGATATAAGTTAATATTGTGGTAATACAAGTTTCTCTTTGAGAAGCGACTGGATTAGAGCTCCATAGGTTCCACTGGTAATTGCAAGCACCAATGCTGCATAATTCCCAGTCCCCAGGTCTGTCTGAGTGCACGAAACTTGCAAGTGGCACAAGTCAGAAGAGCTCACATTCCTCCACTAAATGACATTTCCTACTGGCACAGCCCAAGATGGGGCATGGAGCTGCAAGGACTCTCTGCCCAACCCAGGATAATTCTAATCATGGAATGGCTTGGGTTGGAAGGGATCTTAAAGGTCATCTAGTTCCAACCCCCCCTGCCATGGCCAGGGACACCTTCCACTAGATCAGGTTGCTCAAAGCCCCGTCCAACCCAGCCTTGAACGCTTCCAGCCATGTGGCTTCTACAGTTTCTCTGGGAAACCTGTTCCAGTCCCTCACCAATCTCACAGTGAAAAATTTCTCCCTAAGATCTAATCAAAACCCCCCCTATTTCAGTTTGAAGCCATTCCACCTTGTCCTATCACCACATGTCCTGATGAACAGCCCCTTCCCAGCACTCTTGTAGCCCTGCTAGATAATGGAAGGCTGGGCCTTGCCTCCCCAAGCTGAACAACCCCAACTCTCCCCTCGCAGCCCACCTTCACAGGAGAGGCTCTCCAGCCCTCTGATCATCTTCCTGGCCTCCTCTGGACTCTATCCAAAAGGACCATGTACTTCCTGAGTTGGGGGTCCCAGAGGGGGATGCAGTAATGCTCTGAGGAAGCTGCATTTTAATAAGCATTTGATTCAATATTAGTCCGTTCACCTTATGCTACCCTCTTTTTGCAACTTTTAACTTTGATGAGAGTTCAAGAATAATTTTGTGGAGATACAATTAAGTTTAGAACTGCGGGGAAAATGATGCTTTAGCTCTGCATTGCTTCTTGTCAGGGGACGGAGATAGCGGAACGCTCTAAGTTGTGGCTGTAGGTTTCTAACAAGCACCTGTCACAAGGCTGCTCCTGGCACGCTGACGCTTAACTGCTGGCCTCAAAAGTGTACTGCTTGCCATTTTCAAGCATGGGATTTTGCAATATGAAGAGGTGAAAGTGGCTGGGTATTTTGAGTCACTAACCAAACCACAGCTAACTCAACAAGGATCAAAATTCAGTAACCAAAGACTCTGAACAAGGACTTATTTGAAGGAGGTAACCAGAAAGGGAAGAAATAAGTGAAAACTTGAGAGAGAGCTAGTTTGAAAGCAAATAAATGGGAGAAAAGATTGGTAAAGGAGTTTCACGGTTATAATGACGGGAGAGTGTTTGGGACTTTCGGTCACATTCTGCTAAGGGTGTTCATTTCCGTGGTCCAAGGAAACACTGGAAGGCTTTGGGTTATGCCGGGAGGCCTTGATTTCCCGGGCACAGCTCAGCAAAACAAGTTCCCACCCACGGTTGGGGCAGGCACTTATGGACACAGAAGGTTTCTTTAGTTAAGGCACCGGCAAAGGCAACGCGGTAACTGAGGTGTATCACTCACTCGCCCCAGCCTTCCCTGTCCCAGCTCCATCCCTCTCGCAGATCTCACGCTAAACTCGGCTTTGCCCTTGGAAAGCACAATTTGGCCATGAAAGGCAGGCCCTCACGGCCGGTCGGTGGCAGGGCAAGGTCCCGGGGCGGACGGACCGTGGGGGTTCCCGGCCGGCCCCGCTGCCTCGGGGACCAGAGCTGCCAATTTTCTTTCTGCATCGCCTGGGCTCGCTGGGACGCCGCGTCCCCGCCGGAGGGGGTGGGAGGAGGAGGAGGAGGTTCAGGCTGTTCGGCGGCCGTACCTGGCCGGGGCCGGGCTCCCCTCGGAGGGCCGGGGGGCCCCGCTGCCCCGGGAGCGCCTTGACCCCGCCGGCAGCGCCAAGGTCACCGCCCCGACGTGTCCCCGGTCCCCCGGCCGCCGCTGCCCCGCCGCCGACACTTGAGAGTTTAAAGAGGCTTTTCTTCCCCGGGAGCGGCGCCTGAGGGAAGGGGAAGGGGCAGGAGGGGGCAGGCAGGAGGGACAGGCGGGAGGGGCGGGGAGAGGCTGGCAGGGCAGGAGCCGGGCGGGGTGCTGGCTCCAACTGGAAAGGAACCGGTCCCAGCCCAGCCGGGGAGGCTGCGGGAGAGCCGGCAGCGCTGGGCAGAGCACATCGGCCCCGGTCCCGGCCCCGGTCCCGGCCCGAGCAGCCGCCGCCTGCCATGGGCACCGCGCCCCCCGTCAGTGCCGTGACCCCGGCGGGGCGGGCGGGGGGCGCCGCCGCGGAAGGGACGGGGGGAAGGATCGACCCCGTGTCACAAGAGGGACGGGAGGACTCGGAGGGGGACCTGCAGCCCGGGTGGGGGTCAGGAAGGAGAGGGTGAAAGCAGCGGGGCTTGGGGAGGATGGTGATGCAGAGCCAGTTTGTGCAGCGGGCATGGCTTCCCGGAGCCACAGTCTTGCTGGGCGACCCACTAATTCTGAGTTTGTGCTGTAGAGTGGGTCTGTGAAGGCAGGGAAGATGCCAGAAGGAGAGAAAATGAGACAATGTAAGCAAGAGGAGGAGCAGCAGCAGAAAGAAGAGGAGCGCGAGGGTCTCATCGAATTCTACAGTTCCTACCAGGAGCTGTTCCAGTTCTTCTGCAGCAACACAACCATCCACGGGGCTATCCGCCTGGTGTGCTCCAAAAAGAACAAGATGAAGACAGCCTTCTGGTCCGTTCTCTTCTTTCTCACCTTCGGCTTAATGTACTGGCAGTTCGGGATCCTCTACAGGGAGTACTTCAGCTACCCTGTCAACCTCAACCTCAACCTGAACTCCGACAGGCTGACTTTCCCGGCCGTGACGCTGTGCACCCTTAATCCGTACAGGTAAGAAACAGACTTGCAGAGATGTTGACTGCCTTGACTTTGATGGGTGCAGGATAAAGGCACATGCTCTGGTTCTCCTCGTGGTCCTCAACTGCCCACTGTTGTAGCGGTGCCGGTGGAAAGGACACTTCAGAGGCCTTTGCTGCTGCAGGGCACTCACAATAAGGCATGTGAGTTTAGGCAGCTCTGCTCGGTGGTGTATTTAGCAGGCTGCAATGTAAACTGCCCACGGGGCTAGATCGGATTTACTTCTCTCCTGCAAGATAGCCTCCAGCAAGGGGTTAGATTTACAGCTGGTGGCAGGAGTATCACCCCAGCAAACTTTGCTGCGTGTCTTATTCAGAGCCGTTTGTGTCCATCCAGCCCTAAACCTGGTGGTCTTCTCTCCCCCCTGTACAGGTACAGCGCCATCCGAAAGCAGCTGGATAAGCTGGACCAAATCACCCACCAGACACTGCTAGACCTCTATGACTACAACATGTCTCTGCCACAAAGAGACTGGTCCACATCGTCCACACAAAGGCGTAGCTCAAGGAGCCTGCTCCATCATGTCCAGCGCCATCCTTTGCGGAGGCAGAAGCGGGATAACTTAGTCAACTTGCCAGAGAACAGTCCCTCAGTGGACAAGAATGACTGGAAAATTGGCTTTGTTCTGGTGAGATCCCTAGATACCCTGTGCCCTACCCACTCCAGTCCCTGCCTGGCTATTTCTGTCTTGTGAGACCCTTGGCCATGCCTTTCCTTATGTAGAAGTTTGATTAATCTCCACTGGCTTTTGCTAATGACAGATATAAGTAGAGCTGAATCCTTTGCTCCATACAATCCTGCTCCCCAAATTCTGTCCATGTTCATGCAGGCCGCAGGGGACGTGTCCATGTCAGTGTCCATCTCCCCAAGAGCAGGAAATCCTTGTCCTTCCTCAGGGTGCATCAGCCTTGCAGTTGCTTTTGAGAGCAGTTTATCAGTATCAGCTGCCGCATTGCCCAATAACAGCAAAGGAGAAAGTATTTGATGGTCCTGGGCCACCTGAAATGTGATCATGGTCGCAATTGCTCCTAGGTAGCAGCTTCCTCGCCCTAGGGTATCTGTGTTTGCATTTAAAAAGGCACTGAAGGACTGAAGCTAATCGCTGAGCAGTTAACTGGAGCTCCCACAGGATCACAAACGTTTTTCTGGACACACCCTGAAGGAAGGGCTCCCCACGCAAGAATTTAAACTCCTGGTTTTATACCAGGTAGAATTTATGTGCAGATTACCCTGTACACCTTGCTGCCACCTGGGTTTTACTCAGCCTCGCTTATTCACTTGGCGTTGCCCTTCCACCGAGGAGCTGCCTTGTTTTTTTCCCATATCCTGCTGATCACCTGTTGGTCACACACAGGAGTTCTGTGGAACCCTTCACATCCTCGGTCATCTGCTTGTGCTGAGCGAGCACAGTTTATCCATGGGCAGAGCCTTGGCCTTGTCTCCTGGACAAGAAGACTTCTCTGACACGGCTTTTCTCCTTCTTCACAGTGCAGTGAAAACAACGACTGTTTCCACCAGGCGTACTCCTCGGGAGTGGATGCCGTGCGGGAATGGTACAGCTTTCACTACATCAATATCCTGGCGCAGGTGCCTGATGCAAAGGCCCTGGACGAGTCTGACTTTGAGAATTTCATCTATGCTTGCCGCTTCAATGAGGCAACGTGTGACAAGGCGTAAGTAGTGGAAGCACCCCTGAAAACACTTATTTTGTGCCTGGGCTCGAGGGGAATCAAGGAACCCACATTAGAGAACCTCTTTTCCGAGGTGGGATCATTCCGTGCTCAGTTCCCATTTGAAAGATCAAATGATCTTTCTTGAGCGTGAGTTTTGCATATCAGGGCCACAGGTTCTGTGACCTGGAACTATGAACCTTGAAGGATGATTATGCCTTTTTCTGGGTTTCACATAAATTAAATAATTATACTGCTACAAACACCAGAGTGGGCACAGATGTACAGTGCACAAGTATTTTTATTCTATCCTCCACAGTGGTAAAGTGGTACATATCAGCCCACATAAAGGAAGAAGAGAGAGTTGATACAAAAAGGCATTAAAACCCATCCCACTTTTCTCCTGCCATTATTGGTCAAAAAGCCCCAAGGAGCTAGTGGAATGAAAATGATCTGCAGGGGAAGCAAAAGGGGTAGGAAAAGCTAAGAGTTTCATCAGTATTAGGAGGATAATACAGTAATTGTTAGCACTGCTAAAACCCATTTGGGCTCTGAAAAGCAGCAGGAAAATCCTTGTGCAAAAACCTGTACAGCTCCAGGACATTTTTTACAGCACATTTTAATTGCTTTTCCCTGTTTGTGTGAGTTTACATAATAAATACTGCCCATCTGCTGTAAGCCCCTCTCCCTGCTGATGGAAAGCAGAGCTGTTCCTTCCAGAAAGCCCTTCCCTGTTGTTTCACAGCTCTTCTCACTCTGCCTCTGTTTCTATCCCCCTCTCAGGAACTATACCCACTTCCACCATCCATTATATGGGAACTGCTACACCTTTAATGACAACAGCAGCAGCCTGTGGACGTCCTCGCTGCCTGGGATCAATAATGGTGGGTGAGAGGCACTCTTTGGTAAGGAGAACAGCTTAGCTCTGTTTTCCCTAGGAGTTACGGGCATCCTGCTGTGCTGCCACTGGTGGTGGCAGATTGCAGCCCTGCTCTGTCTCGCTCAAGCTGTTTTCACCTATTTGGAGACAGCTGTCTCATAGACAAGGCTGTCCCTCACCACTGCCCACAGAACTCTCTCTCCCTCACCAGTGCCTGATCCTTATGCTCTTTGCTTCCTCTGGATTTGTGCTGGCCCTTCCTGAAGTCCTCTGCTGAGCCATAGTGCTTGTGCTCCTCCAAGTTCTCTTTTTTCTAAGCCATAGTGATGAAATCCAGTTTTGTCTGGCCTCTTCTGGAACCTCCAGCTTTTTCTCTGGCCTCCCTCCAGCCACCCTCTATTGCTGCCAAGCTTTGGTGCAGCCCTGGTTGATGTCTGTCATCCTTTATCTCTTTCAGACTCCCTTCTAACCATCCTGCTCTCCCTTCTCCGCTGCACCACAGCCAGCCGTGACCTCCCTCTCGCTCTCTGATATTCCCTCAGGTCTCTCTCTGGTGGTGCGCACCGAGCAGAATGACTTCATCCCTCTGCTGTCCACGGTGACAGGAGCCAGGGTCATGGTCCACGATCAGAACGAGCCAGCCTTCATGGATGATGGGGGTTTCAATGTTCGTCCTGGCATCGAGACCTCCATCAGCATGAGAAAGGTGAGCAAGCAGAAGGGTGAGAGCCGTGGATGGGAAGTTTAATTGAGGACTTACAATGTGTGTTTAAGGGAGGGGACTAATCACATGGAGTGAAGGGAGAGGAAGAAGAACAGCTTGCTGGACTAGACGAGAAGCATTTGGCTACAGTTTATCAGTGAATAATGAAATGGCAGCAAGCAGGGGGAGCTGGCATCCCGAGGAAAGCATAAAGAGCAGATACTGATGGATGAGCAGTGTGTGGCATGGGAGAGTGGGAAGAGAACTACAAAGTGGAGTTGTTCTGTTGCAGGAGATGACCGTGCGCCTTGGGGGCAGTTACAGCGATTGCACAGAGGATGGCAGTGACGTGCCAGTGCAAAACCTGTACTCGTCCCGCTACACCGAGCAGGTAACTCGCCCTCACCCCTCCCGGGCCGCCTTGTTTCTCCACTTTCCTGACATGCTTCAGCCCCCTAACGGCCATGCCTTTCCTTGGGCTCCGTTAAAAGTGTGATGTGATACAGGCAGCAGCAGGTTTGGTTCCCCTGATCAGCCTTCTCCACCTTATGTGCCTCCCAGGTCTGCATTCGCTCCTGCTTTCAGCTCAACATGGTAGAACGCTGTGGCTGTGCGTATTACTTCTATCCCTTGCCTGATGGAGCGGAGTACTGTGACTACATGAAGCACACAGCCTGGGGTGAGTGGACAGCAGGGACAGCAGAGCTCATGCCCACCTGAACCTGTTTGGTCGGCCCATGTCCCAGCATGTCTCATTGTCTTCAATGAGCTTCCTGGTGTGAGACATCTGACAGACAGTCTTGCCTTGGATGATTAGCCCCTTGTGAAAGAAAACCTCTTCTGGGTTCCCCTCGCTGTCACACATCACCTTTTTTGTCTAAAGATACTGTGAGCTTACCAGGATTTACTTTCTTTGCTGTTCAGGCTACTGCTATTACAAACTCCTGGCTGAATTCAAAGCTGATGTGCTGGGCTGTTTCCACAAGTGTCGGAAACCTTGCAAGTAAGTTGATCAGTCAGGCAGGAAGATTGGAAAGTATTCCTAGAAGTGCTGGGAAGCATTCACTGACTGGGCAAAAGCTCGAGTCAATAGCTGAGCCCCAGCCTGAAATGTTATTTCTCCTATCAGGAAGCCAAAACACCTGAGGAGCATTAGGGTTGGCTTAGGGGTGAGCTCCCAAGGACCGTGCATTCCATGTGGTGGGAAGTGGGCAGAACTTCATGTTGCGATCCTTCTCCCCGATGGGACCCCTCTGTCCCACCCACCCGTGGTGAGAGCCTGCTCGTCTCAGGACACAGGCGGCGGAGGGGGTCCTGGAGTGGATACAACACGGACTCAAAGTATCTAGACACAGGAGGCTCAAACTTGCTGGATTAATCCCGGGTTTATTGTCTGTCGTCCATCCGGGGCAAGAGAGAGAGCGAAATGCTCTGGGTCTCATCTCTTATACCAGGGGGCAGGGGTGATTAGGGGATGCAGGGAGGTCACAGCCAAGGGGAAGGGGGAAGGGAAAGAAGGTTTTCAGGTAGGAACTCACATTACACAAACCAGAGGTGAGTTTTACCCTTGGGAGGTACCAAGATTTTTAGATGCACTACAACACTTCAGAATGGGAGGGAATCACCAGGTGTGCCTGGGGATGGCGAGACCTGGCCCTGTGGCTCCTACAGCTTCAACAGCTAACACAGCCTCCTCTTGCCTTGCAGAATGACAGAATACCAGCTGTCAGCTGGATACTCCCGCTGGCCTTCTGCTGTCTCAGAGGTAAGGACAGGGTGTCCTGGCTTCCCAGCGCTGCTCCCACCTCCCATTTAGTCCTTCCTCAAGTGGTACCAAACTTGCAGGAGGTGACTGTGATCATGTAACACAATTTATTGCACTTTCATTTCAGGACTGGGTTTTCTACATGCTTTCACAACAGAACAAATACAATATCACATCCAAGAGGTGAGAGCCACAAAACAGAGACTGCATCCAAACCAGAAACCGTCCCAGTGGAATGTGCACGTTGGACATGTCAGAGTTAAGATTAAATCACTGACGGGAAGAGATCAGGCATGGGGCCTGTGGACAAGGACAGTGGATTTGAGCCAGAGTAGATATATAGCAAGACTTCAGCAAGGACTGGGCACCCAAGTGAAAAATTTTGGAAGAGGTCAGATGCTGATATAAAAATAGTAAACCCCAGCACTTGCTGTGTGTTCTGGAGTCACAGGAAGTTCTCGTGGAAGAATGGGAAAGAGAGCTGTGCAGGAGCTTTTGCCACAAACATTGGTTTTACAGTACAATGTCAGAAGTGCACTCTAAGTACCAAAGACTCTATTTAGTGCAGAATGAGACAGCTGCAGAGATGGCAGAAAGCCTCTGGGTGGTATGTATGGGAGAAGAACAGGGGGAGGAAGGGGACAGAAACAATTAGGCTTGGTGAAGAAATGCAGGGATTGAGGAGTTGGGGTTGCTGAGTGTCACCTTTCACTCACAGGAACGGAGTTGCCAAAGTGAATATCTTTTTTGAGGAGTGGAACTACAAGACCAACGGGGAGTCTCCAGCCTTCACGGTATACACTTTACCACTTTGTCTTCTCTGGCCACCCACTCCCCCACGATGTCCCTCCACTGTGGCAAGCTTTTGTTCCAGCAGCATTGCTGCTGGATATTGAGTTTCTTTTCCTTGGGCAGGATGAGGGGAATCCCCCCCAGCACTACAGGGAAGAGGGAACAGGCAGGGAGGCGAAGTCCCAGACAAAGGCTGTCGTCACTGCTCTTTCTCCATCTCCTGCAGGTAGTGACTCTGCTGTCCCAGCTTGGGAACCAGTGGAGTCTCTGGTTTGGATCCTCTGTCCTGTCCGTGATGGAGCTTGCAGAGCTGGTTCTGGATTTCATTGCCATCACCTTTATCCTGGCCTTCCGCTGGTTCCGCTCTCGGCAGAAGCTGTCTCCACCGGGACCCCCTGTGAACAGTCAGGATAACACTGCTTTCCAAGATGAGGCACCAGCTCTCAGTGCTCCACATCGCTTCACTGTTGAGGCTGTAGTGACCACACTGCCATCCTACAACAGCCTGGAACCACGTGGGCCGAGCAGGGATGGTGAGGTGGGGCACGAGTGAGGCAGCAGCTCCTTCCACTGTTCAGACGGGTGGCAGCTGGAGCAAAGGCTGCACACTTTGTCTGCGGGGCCTGCATTTCCTTCTTTCTGGGGTGCTGAACGTGGACCATAGCAAAAGACTGCTCCGTGGCTGGCCTGGGCTCATTGCTTTCACTTCTGCAGGCAAATTCTTCAGTCTCATAAAATACTATTGCTGTGGGATCACCAGGGATGAGAGTTTGATCTACTATATGTATGGGGGGAATGTCCTCTTGATTTCCTTAGGCTCTGTGCATGTGCACACCTACATGTGCATGCATGCTTTCTTTTCCCTCCAGCAAGGATGCTGCCACAGTTCCGGTCTGTCATTAATTAAAGAGGTTTGACAGGTGTGACTGGCCTCTGTGGTATGACAAGGAACAGGAATGGAGTCTCAGCTGGGGTACAAATCTCTCAACAGGCTGAGCTTTGTTAAGCTTTCCCTAAACTAGTTGCTCTTTCCTCATTCTTCATGTCCAGCTCTGATCCCAGGACTGTCACCTACCCTCTCCTCCCCCTGAGGAGAGGCTACTTGAGACAAGAGCCACTGGCACGATCTCAATCTGTATTACGCACAATGCTCTGGAGAGGTGCTCGAAGCTTGCTGCCACTCCCAGGTCTGGGACAAAACACCCCTGGCAAAGTAAAGGCTCCTGTTTCAAGCTGCTTTTGTGGCATTGGTAGATATTGGGTGTCTCCCCTTCCTTGGGATACACCATACATGTGTACATCCAGCTATCTGATTGTTTGCCAACAGCTCTGGGACAAATCGATCTCTACATTTGCCTGACCATCCCTGCTTTCTTCCTGAGGGAAACAAAGAGTTTGGCAGGATTATGCACACCCTCCAAAAATCCCAAACAGTACCTCTGCTGCCGTGGGATCCTGCAAGAGAGGACTGGAGCAGCACAGGTCATGCAGTGCCTGTTCTGCTCCTGCCAGCCTTTGTCTGGTCCACCCACAGAAACTCTGCTGAGCCTGTTCTTCCTGAGGGAAGTACTGCAGGCTTTAATCAAAAGTGTTTCCAAGGAAAGCCTTTTTCATTGGACCACGTGGGCAAAAATGGTCCTCTTCTCAGGAACTAACTTGGGGGCCTTTGTGTAAGAACACATTTCTTGCAGTGAGCTTGCCATACTCTTTTCTTACAAATACTCAGACTTCTGCTGCAATGGTGTTTGCACTTCACTTTATGGGGTATCAAGAGAGCAAGGGTGATGTCCTTAAAAAACAGGATTATCCACTTCACAGGACAAACAGAGATACCAGAACTTAAGCAGTTTAGGTACACTTGTGGAACCCTGTAACCAATCACACTGCAAACAGCCACTTTTGAATTTAAAAACTAGTTAATCATAACAAAATAAAACCTGAAGCTACTTTTAAAATTAAGGTAGATGCAGTGCCCTTGGGAAGCTGGACGAGTTTACTGCAGTATCCAAACTGTTGCCTAATTTTTCCCTTTGAGATATGAAACACATGCTGGTTGTACTGCTCTTGCCTTGATTACCTAAATGTACTGTTCAATTCCCAGCAGAGAGTGATTTTATTCTTCACAGAACAAATGCTATGTTCTTTATTGCACAAGTATTCCTGGTTTTACAAATTTTATCCGAGTGCTCAGCTGATAACTCTTGTTTGAAAGTGAAGGTAATGTCTCTCTGCTAGGAACAGAAGCATGTAATTCAGGGGGTATCCTTCAGCAAGGGTGGCAGCCCAGCAAGACAGAAGGGCCTGCAACAAGCACTCAGAGGTGTGGGAACATGTATTCATCCCTTGGAGGCCACCACTAAAAAAAAAAAATCAGAGCTTCCACAAACATGAAAGAATCCATTTTCTGTGTCTGATTTTAAATGAAGTAAAAAAGAATAAGGAATTAATAAAATCTCAAAATTGCCTCTGTGAAGGTACTTTCTTGTTCTGTAAAAACACTGCCCAAGAGGCAGAGCTAAAAGCTAGGTTTAGTTGCTGAAGGTAACTTTTTTGGCCACAATTAAAATACAAAAGGCAGGCAGATAGAGGAGCTAGGATGCTGCACCCAGCTCTTGGTCATGAATTCAGTACTGCAGACTGATGCCTTGAGTGTTTTCTAGCACATGAATGAGTAAAAACCTGATACTGGACACAGAGCTGTTTGCTTTACAAAGCCACCTTCAAATCAAGAAAGGAGAAAGAGCAGGTGCAACACCTAAAACAGTCTTTGTATACCATAAACATACGGTGATTCATATGGTAAGCAATCATCCTTCCTCAATATCCAAAGAGTAAGACACGATTCTTCACATAACAGAACCATAAATAACCTTGTAATAACCATAAAATTGATGAGACCTGCTGCATCACACACAGTTAAGTGGGTGATTAAAGCAAGGTTAATCAGAGGCATAACTACTTGAAACAGTAAGTTCTCTTCATCATGAAGAAATACAGCTGCAGAAGGTGGTGATGTATTCCCTGGAGGAAGCCTGAACCATATTCTATCTGCTCCATAAAAGTGTTAGAATGCAAAAAAAAAAAAAAGGGTTTTTGACTTTCAAATGAATGGCATAATTCAGGATAGCTGTAAATCCAGAGTTAAAAGCCTATGCAAATGTGAAGAAGCAGTTACACAAGTTGGTAAATATATTAGCCCTTCCTGTCCTGTGAATCAGTGCAAAAATTGCCATCTTGGGAGAAATAAGGTGTTCCAGAAATAATCCCTGCATTTCTTGTAGGCTGGCAAGACCACAAATGAGCAAATGTATAGTGAGCTTGGTCTGGCTGAAAACAACAGGCAAGAGCAGCAGTGCTGGAATAAGAGCCCAAAAAATGGGAATATTTCACTGACAATGTGAAAAAAATGGAGAAAAGGAAAGAAAGTGTGCATCTATGGGGATCTGCAAAAGCCAAATGAAAAGTCTGAGCTGGGGTGAATTTGTACGAGATGAGAAAGCTGAAGGGATGTAAATGCTCAGTAGTCAAAGGTGTGTTAGAGGTATAGCAGTGTTATTTTGAGGACATGGAAAACATGCAGGGAACAGCTGGAGGTTGTATCTCTTTGGACTGGGAACAGATGTCCAAACAATTGTTTTTCCATAAGAATTAAGGTAATCGAGGAAAGGCATGGAAGTACAACATAAGTATCTAGGGAAGCTAGAAAAAATAATGAGAGAACCTTCACTTTGGAAAATAAACTGTATGTTTAGAAGAACTAAACCCTGCTTGCTGGAGGGCTCAAGGGAAGCTGGACAGATAGATCAAGGTTTGACAGACTGCACAGACTGAGGTCAAACCAAGAAGGAATTTGAAGAAAGGGTTACCAAGCTCTTGGGACAGGTGCAATAAAATCTAAGGGTTACATCAAGAAATTAAAAGGGCAGTAGTGCTGCTGGTGAAAGGACACAGGGGAACCAGAGAGATCAGGAACATACCAGAGGCACAGCCACATTCAGTCACAGTTCTTTAACAATATGCAATATTTAAAGGGGGCTTGTAAGCACAAGAGGGGAAAGTGCCTTCAGCTTCCAAGTACATACTTAAAAGCAATCAACTAAAAAGAGCTTATAATCTTTATTTATTAAATTTTTAATAAGTTTATGGCAAATTTAGTTTTAAAAAATAGCACAAAGGCTTTTGGAAAAGAAGCTTCTAAGGAAAGAACATAAAAAGAAAATGTCATTTTGTCCTCTGCACAAATCATTTAGTGAATCTGTGCACTAAAGGAAAGGACGTTATGGGGCTGTTCATATTTGAAACCTGGGGAGCAAGTAAGGGTGTTCTGAATATGTGTTGCACTCTATCTCAGGCCAAAAATAGGTCAAAGATTATCAGGAGTATGGAGGCTTAGGTATCTAACAGACATGGCTGAGTTGCCTATTTGTAAAACCTATATCTTTATCTGTTACATCTCTCAGAGCAATTATTTGTTTAGAGGTTAGAACAAAGATAAAACCTCCCCCTTACTACCTCTCTTCACCAAGTTAAGGCTTCCAACCCCAATGGATACATCAGAGCAGGGACCTCTGTCACTTCCCAAGGAAGCCAGGTTCATTAAAAAAGTGTTGATGCCGCATTCTAGCTCTGAACAAAAATCTCTCTTCCCCACCATCATTTGGTTACTCTCCAGCTGAGACAACAAACCCCACCATCGATGAAGGCTTGCACCAAGCTTTGACCAGCACAGAGACACCTCAGGAAAGGCCAGAGCCAATGCCTCAGGCATCTTGAAATATGAAAGTTTAGGGTATATCCATTTAGGAGCAGTACAGTTGAGGCTTTTCCCCCATCTGAAGACATCAGGATGAAGTAGTTGACATGGGAGCTGCATGTTGGACAGAATGGTTTGGGTTGGAAGTGACCTTAAAGGTCATCTTAGCTCCAACTCCCTGCCACAGACTGGGACACCTTCCACTAGACCAGGTTGCTCAAACCTGGTCATCCAACCCAGCTTTGAACACCTCCAGAGATGGAGCATCTACAGCTTCTCTGGGCAATTTCTTCCAGTTCAAGGGCATGTTAAGCATTTTCCATGTTTAAAGGCAGAGCTTGAATTGTTAGACATATAAAGAACTATTCTCCCAAAGCCTTGGCCCTGCTTTTGGAGCACATTTAAAACCCTGTTTTGTCCGGGATAACAGAGTGCAGGAGCAGCAGAAATGCTGATGCAGTACAGAATGGCACCTCAGAAAAGCTTCCAGTAGAATATTATATTGTCAGTGCCTACCAGAGGATTTATGGCTAGACATGCAAGTCTTTGCAAACATCCACAACATGACTCATGAACTGAGCTCAACCCTGGGGCAATTTTCAGCAGTATGTTCAGCCCCAGCTCTGTGCTCCAGAGCAGCTGCCAGCTTTGGAAAACAAGCTTTCAATCCCCAGCTTTGGCAAGGGACTTGGACACTACATCATCAACAGTCTAAAAATGCATCTGTCCTAAGAAAACATCTTACCTATCCCCCTACATGAATGAGGCTGAGAACCGACAGGAACGCAACACAAAACTTGGCAGGAATTGTAGCATGACTTGCTCATTCAGGTTGTGCAGGCCTGAACTGCATGGAATTTTAGACTGCACATGCTGCTTTTAATCCACCAGCCAGTCCAGACACTCTCCTTTCCCAGGAAGGCTTCCATCTTTGAAGAATTTGTCTAGCTGCCTTGCTCCAAATTCACCACTGAGAATTCTGGCATGTTCATTGTTCTGGTTTGATTTTGGTGATGTTTAAGACTGGACAATGATTGATCATAAGGGAACCAGAAGCCATGGGCAAGAATGTTTTACAAGCTAGCTTTTGTAGCAGTAAGGGCAGATAAGGACACAAGTACCTAATTTTAAATTAACTCTGCACTGGTAAAAGCTCTGTCATTTCCTTTTAATGAGTTTCAAATGTACAGTGAAGCAAAACAAAGGGGCACTTACCTTTATTCCAGTCATGCTGCAAGGTATGTTGTGAACAGCATCCTACTCTTGGAGGTCTTCATTTGGGTCCTGAACTTATATTCCAACACCAATGGAAAATTGTTTTCTGGGATTAAGGATCTGAGGTTATTGAAATCTCAAGGCAGCACAGCCTGAGAGCCAGAGCTGCCACTAACATACTAATGCACAGAAGGCAGTCTCCTGAACAGGACAGAGGCTGGGCATTTGGTGGCTAAAAGTAGACTTGGCTTGGGCAGCCTCATCCCCCAGAGCTGCTGGTTCTCACATCTTGTTACAGGCTTACCAGAGCCAGTCTAGCACAATTGGAACTACTATCATTTTACAATGGAAAACCAGCCACCACTTTGAGAGACAGAACTTCAGGTATGTGTGTGCTATGGAAGTCACAAAAAACCAAAAACAAAACAATTCCACAAGTTTGGCATCCCAACCCCTTCCCACTCCCTGACAGACCAGACAGACTCAGTAAGGTGGTAAATTGTGTTTCTTAGAGACCATTAAAAGTACATGAGCTGATTTCTAGAACATGCCAGAGGAGATTACAGTTGTGTTTATAGAGGAAGTAAATAAACTGCACGTGCATGAGTGGCTGTGATGCCATGGGCAGCAGAGTCCCTTGCTTTTACTAAGAAGGCCTTGGTGATTTGCTTTGCCCGTGCACAGAGACACAAAGGAGGGGAAAGGGAGCAGAGGAGGAGGCAACATACAACACTTAAGAGAAAGAAATGAAAGAGACAACCTAGGGGGACCTCAGCTCCCAGAGAGACAGGAGGAATGGGGCATCCAAAGGCTTGTTTAGAAGAGTTTGAGAGAATTGCTGGTCTGGGGGCCTCAAGCTTGTAAGCCTACCCCCTAAAATGAGAGCAGTAAGTAGCACAAGCAGGCCCTGGCTCCTCTTCAGTAGATGCACTTCTGACCGTCCATCCCATCTCAGTTCCGCAGGGAATTAGGGAAGTGCTCAGGGGATGAGGGCTGCTTCTCTCCAGATCTTCATCTCTGCCCTCCCCTGAGGCGGAGAGTAATGGAATTGCAGGGAGATGAACTCAAATGAAATGCTGGGGCATGGAAGTGAGCATGCAAAACCTAGCCCCTTGCCAGCTGCCCTGGGAGGCACAAAGGGGCTTCCCCAGCACATCCAATGAAACAAAAAGCATCTGCTCCTCCCATCTTTTTTCTGTCTGGGAACTCCAGTGATGTCCTCCCTGCCTCCTCTTAAGCCTAAACAGAACCCAGTGTATTCCAGAACAGAGGCAGAGGTTTCTAAATTAAAGGAGTACCCTCTTTCCAGTCTAGCTCAGCTTGTTAAAAAAGTTAAAAGACGAGATACACATTCCTTGAAAGACTCTACAGAAACAGGGCAGCTCATTTAACCTATGTCTGACAACACATTCAAACAACTTACAACTCTTGTTACTTTTGATAGAGAAGAACAAAGGAACTGCTCACAGAAAGCCACAGCCACAAGTTTACTTCCCTCAGAGACCACTCTGGACCTAAATTCAAGAGAACCCATTGCAAGCAGGAGGATTCAGTTCAATCAGCAAGATCTTTAGAGACATAAGTTGCCAAACTGGGACACGTGATGTCAACTTTGCAATAACCATGCCCCAGAGCACAGTTTCCCTTTGAATCCCCAGCTAAACATTTCAAGTGTTTTCTAACTCCTGCTGAAAGTTAGGGCTTGGTGGCAGCAGAAACAGCAGAAAGCTGTGCAGCTCATTCAGTCTCATCTGGAATACCTCCAGTCCCCTTCATCTCTATCGGCTATGGCAGTGAGCCTCCTTGACGCTCACCCCAGTGACTCAAAAGCAAAACACCAATTCCCATTCTGCCACTACTCCAAAGTCTTCCTTCTGGAAAGCTACAAGACAGTAGGAAGCTACAGGGTCCTGGCTTGTGTGTGCATAGATGAAAGGCATATTTGACACTCCCCACCAGACTAATTGTTGTTCATTCGATCCTTGTGGAGAGAGTCTTTACTCCCACACATGCCTTTTAGACAGTAACAATGCTCCTTTCACTTAACTGTGTTTAGCCTGTTGCATTTGACTGAGGTAATCATGTAGGCCCTCCTTTATAAAAACTGAAATGGCCATGTTCAGGCAGCAAGTCATCTGGAAATAAGGACAGGCAGAACAATTATTTCTTCACGTGCTCACCTTTCCATGACTAGAGAAATCTACATCACTACATGTAGCTTAGATGGCTCACAGCCACTGGCCAACACAAACTAGCTTTTATATCAGCAGCTCAATGAAAAGCTCAAGTCATGCTGCCAGTCTTTTTAGGCAGAACACTAAAGACTCTCACATGCTGAAGTCCTTTATCCCAAAAGGCACTGTGTTAAGGCATTCTTATTTTACTAGAGTTCACACAGGCACTATTTGACAAGCTTACACCCAAAAGTAAAGACAAGAAGTTCCCTGCAGAAGAGCAGCAGCAAACAGCTACCCACTCTTCCTCAACTTCCCTTTCCTCTGAACTTAGAGGATGCTCCCTAAAGCTGCAGCAGCTATTGAGAAGTCTACCTATGTTTAGTAAGCAGCTCAGAGTCCTACACAGAAGACAAATTAAAACCAATAAAGAAATCAATGAAGAAGCTAGGTGAAAGGGAAGGAAAGGAAAAATTCAGAGGCCAGAAGAGACAGGCAAGGTAATAGGGGACAGGAGGTTGCAGACTGAAGGAGCTACATTTAAGTAAAAAAGTAGACTGGAGACAAAGCAACAGAAAAAAGAAAAAAGGAAAGAACGAAAGGGCAAGTTATACCAAAGGTCCCTCAGAGAACTCCAAACCACCCACCAGGGAAGGAACTTGCCAACCCACCCACTCCAAGGTAAAACCCCTCATACTTACAGATTTATCTGACTTGTCAGGCAGAATTTCCCATTTCTACAATGATGGCATTCCCCATTCCTCATATTACTAGGTAAAGCATACCTTTTCCACACTAAATGAGGGAGTTCCAGCACTTCTACCTCCCTTTCCCAAAGACTGGAATTGACACTTATGCAACTAAGACCCTCAAGATCTCAAAACCCTAGCTAGAGTTGGTGTTTCCTCACCTTTGAGCCTGAGGTTTTTGGTACTTACTTGCAATCACCACCACCACAAGGGCACCAATCACTCCCATCATGATCATCATCTGAAGAAAAAGATTGTCCAAGAGCAATACTCAGAACAGGTTGACAAGCTCCCATGCTTCCTGACAGCCAGGGAACCTAAGCCAGGCCCTGAAGGCATGACAGCTAAGGCATAAAAGCCTTCCCACAGTGAAAGAATCTTAAGCATTAGACACTGTTAGTAAGCCCCGGCTATACTCAAAAAAGCCCTGTGGGAGGGGAATAGCTCAGTTCCCTCCTGACCAAGGGGATCGTGGCACTAGGAAACTCACCTTGCAGTTCTTCCACCAGTACTTCCTTTTGAGTTTTGCTGCACTACTTTCAAATACTGAGGCGCCAGCCTGAAGTGCATCTGCCCGGTCATCCAGCTCTGACAGCTTCTCATCTCGTTGCAGCACCTTGTCTACGTTTACACACATTATATCAACTACCTGCAGAAGGAAGAATAATAGGAGCAGTTACATTGGTAAAGACAGTTGAAAAAGTAAGAGGACTAATTTAGCTAATAACTGATGCTGTAATACTAGCAAACAAAAAACATGAACAAGGTAGGGGGAAAAGACCAGGATAAGAAAGAAATCCTTCCAAGTCACTGCCTACTTTGAAATGAAAAAAAAAAAAAAAAATCCAAGACTCACTGTTAAAACATCAGTTCAAGTACGCTTCAACCAGGTCCTCAGCCTCACATTCTCACCTGCTTTTAAGAGTTCTCCATTCCAGCACCAAGCCAAAGCCACCCTCATTATGAGAGGAGTCATATGCTCACTTCCCCGAGAGCTGCAAAATTGCCTTATGAGCTTCACGTTGCTGCCCCAGAGAGGCACAAAGGCGCTACTGCGCGTCAGCAGCCAAGCCGCTGACACTGATCCCGGGAAGCCAGGCAAGGGTTCCCCCACATCACTGCACGCTGTATTCCCTCGAAGCAGCCCGCAGGGATTAAGAGCTGGCCTGGATGCTGTACAGCTTTATTTCCATAAGAGATGCACCATAACGAGGTACCAAAAAAAAAAAATCTAGCAAGGCTGGCCCTTGGAAATCATATCTGGAATTAAGTGGCTTTTAAGCATATAGCAATCTCTAGCCTCTTTAATAGGTTTGCCACCCTATTTTTGAGTACTGAGCATTGATTCATTTCTGTCTTCGGCATGACAAAAGGAGCCACCCCCTCAGCGACAGACATGGGTCAAGAACATCGCTGCTGCAAAGCAGTGGGAGAAGAGTCCAGGCATCCATCAGGGCTGACAGAGCTACTGACCTCCTGCACTTGGGCCTGCGTCTGCTGCAGCCGGCGGTTGCTGGTCAGGTTGGGGGGAGCCCCGGGGGGACCCCCACCGGGGGCTGCCCCTTCGGGAGCTCCTCCTTCGGGAGCCCCTCCTTCGGGAGCCCCAGGAGCGGGCTGCTGAGCTGGGTCAGACCTGGGGGAACACACACATGAAAGAATAAAAAACTCGGCCACTCCAGAGAGAACCTCCCAAATCCACACGAACCCCAGACACCCCAGGCTGCAGCAGCGCTGGCAGCAGCCTCGGGAACCTGCAGCCCCGCTGGATCGGGAACAGGCGGGCTCGTGGAAAAGCCTAAAGCAGAGGCAAGCCCAGGGGGCAGCGGGAATGGAACCAGCCCCTCGTCGAAGGAGCTTGCGGGTGCGGTCGCGCCAAGCACTGCAGCCTCTCGGGGGGAACAGCGACCTGGCCGCAGGGCCGTGACCAGGAGCCGGGGAAGGAAGGTGTGGGAAGGGAGACAGGGAGGCAGCGCGGGGGCACGCCGAGGGGACCAGGCAGCCACCGGGCTGGGCGCAGTGGTGGCCGCCAGCCAGGTTGGCTCCAGCTGGGGCCGCACACATCACCGCTGGGGCACGGCCCACGCACCCACCCACCCATGCAGTCGGCGGGGGAGCAGGACCGCCCGGGGGCGGTGCGGACAGCCCTGCCTGCGGCTGCTGCAATGCGCCACCCGACCCCACCGCCGCCGGCCCGGACGCGGGCTCTGCACTGACCCCGCTCCCTCACGCTCCAGCCACCACCCCCGCGCCTCGCCCACCGCAGCTCGCCCACGACCGGTCGGGCAGACACTCACATGGCCGGGCCGGAGAGAACCGCGGACTAACTGGCACAAAACTCCGCACCGACAGCCCCCCGAGCCCAGGGACCCCCAACTTATAACTGGCGGGGCCCCGCCTACAGAGCCAGTAGCCAATCAAAAGTTGCTTCGCCGGGAGCGGCAGCTCGGCACTGCCCCTCAGTTCCTCCTCAGCCAATCAGCGATCCGCGCCCTACGGAAACGGCCCTAATGTTAGCCCCGCCCCCAGACCGCCGTGGGACAAGCCCCGCCCCTCCGTGGCGCTACCCAATGAGAGCAGCTCCCAGCGCCCCGCCCCCGCCCTAGCCCCGCCCCCTGCGGAGGGCCCGAGGTGCCCGGCGCTCCCTTCGCCCCAGCGGGCCGGGGGCTCGCACGGCCTCGCTCCCGACCCACGGCCCTGCCGCTGGACCCGCCGGCTCCGATAGCCCTGAACGCGTCCGCCGCGCTCCGCGTAGGTCACGCAGGGCCTGATCGTGGTTACCTGTCCCGTTCAGTTCTCCTCTTGGAGCCCAGCCCGGCTGGCGCCGTTGTGGTGGGGCTGCGGAGCGCTCCCGAAATGCCACCTCCGCAGTGTGTCTGTTGGCTCTGGTTAAGCCGCTGTCCTTGCAATTACGAGATGGTGTCGCTGGCCCACTTCCACCATACAGCGAGTCATGAAAGCGAAGCTGAACAGGTCCCGATGGAGCTTCTGCAATCTGCTGGGAGAAATGAGGCTCCCACAGCAGCCCCAAGAACAGCAATGTGTTTGGGGTTTTTCCGTCTAAACATCTGGAGAAGCCTGCTGGATCAGAAGGGGAGATGCTCCAATTCAGGACAAAAAAGGGGGCTGGAGTGTACTGGAACAAGAAGACTCTTCATACAGAATTTTGCATGGTGAGTAGAGAGTGACAAGTGTGGGCTCACACCTACACTACCTTTTCCTTCCATAAGGTGATGCAGGACATTCATGTAAGATTTTAGTGTCAGATGTCACAGATTATTAGGTACACAAAACAGATACGTAACAGACTACAGCATGGTAACTAGAAGATTGTGGTTCAAGGTGAAAAATAATGCAGTGCTGTGTCTAGGCACGGGTGATTTGCAGACAGCAGCAGACTAGCACTGACTTCAGAACTCCAGGTTTTTACACTGCCTTCAAACAGAAGGGACAAGTTGAGAAAGAAGCTTCTGTAGCCTGGAAGCCTTTCCACTGCAGTCTGAGGACCATTCCAATAACAGTTGCAAATAAGTATGAGTTTATGGAATTAGTGGCCACAGAGCCCTTGCCAGGTTGGTGCTTAGGGATTAAGAGATGACGAAGGGTACAAGATACTTTTCCAGTTTCTGACATATTTTCAGTCAAGGATTCACTATGCCTGCTCATTCTCTACTTGGATCTGTGCAAGTTTCCTGTACCCACAACATCTTTTGGCAAGTCCCACAGGTCTGTCACCCTGCTCCTAAGAATGTGGACTTCAGCTGTTTAAACAGCCTTCATTTGCCTCAGGCTTAGACCTAAAGAAAATTATTTCCATTCATTCCCTGCTGCTTCCAACCAAGTGCTTTTGGAGACAGAGTAGCATTGCTTTGTAGCAAGACACATCAAGTCAGCAGATAACTCCAACGACTTGGCAGCTAAATTAATGACCAAGGCAGAACTGGTATGCAAATGCCTGCTCATCTAATGGATTTTTCCCAAGTATACAATGGTGTGATGTGGGACTAGAGGGATGCCAGCTGTGACTCACCGTAACTGTTCCTCTAAAGGAACTGGCAACAGTTATGGAAAACTAGAAGCTAGAATTGCTAAAAACATTTAAATACATGAATTAGTTTTGCAAATCCTGCCTAAATTATAAACAAAAGGCCATTTGGTCATTGTCATTAGCAGCAGATCAAGTCATCATGAGTGCAGAATGAGACAAATCCCATTCTTAAGACAAGTTTTGATGCATTTCAACTAAAATTTTGATCATTCACATTTAACCACAGACAAGTGGAGGGCAAGGGGGAAAGCTGTGAGCAGAAAGACATATTAGCAGGACCTCGTGGCACTAACTTGAAAAATTTGGCTGTGAGGAAAAATGTAAGCTGGAGAATACTGGAATTGTCACGTTAAGATGCGTGAACCTGGGGCTCAGAGACTAAAAGTATGCTAGAAGCCTGGCCAAAAAAACAGAGGACCAGAGGGTTAGGGACACAGGCTGGAACAGATGCCTGCAAGAAGTATGTCAGAAATGACTGAGGGGACACTGAAGAGCTCAGGCCTGGAGTAGCAACAGGACATTGGGTAGAAATATGCTGCAAAGGTTGTAGAAAGCACTGGAAACTCAATCGTGTGGAAGCTGGCTTTATTCTGACTGCAGTGCCGCAGAGCTACATTCCACACGCTGAAGCCACTGCTGTTCCCTAGCGGTGCTTCCCGGTGCGATTGAAGCGCTTGTACAAGTAGCGGATCCTCTTGTTGAGTTTGTGATAGTCCTCTACAAACATCCGATCGCCCACCATCTGCTTCTTGCGGATGCACCTCTGCAGCTCGTTCCCCCGCCAGCCTCGCAGCCAAACGGGTCCCATGATGAGATTCTTCGGGTGGATCTGGAAGCCGCCTGAGAACAGCAGAGCAGAGAAAGATGAAGCCAGGCCCTGGAGAAGGCTGTTCCCAAATCCTGCCCGCCCTGTCGCTGCTGGCAGAGGCGCCAGCCCTCAGGTGAGAGAGCCCAGCCTCCCTGCCCTCCTGCCCCGGGGCCGCAGAGCGGGGGAGGTGCCGGCGGGGTGCGTGTCTTACCCAGGATCCCCACGTTATCGTACACCCCGAACAAGGCCCGCTTCTTCGTCCACCGATCTACCGGCTTGCGCTTGGGAGGCTCTTTGATGCAGATGGGCCGGGAGAGTCCTGCCAGGGGCGAGGACAGCGGCACGGGGAGGCCGGGCCGCACGGGCGCCCAGCGCGCCCCGCCGCAGTCGCTAATGCCCCGCTCAGCGCGGAGCAGGGGAGCGGCAAGGCCCAGCAGGACCCGGCCCGCCGATCGCAGCAGCAGCGTTGCCGCCGCCGCCGCCGCCATGGCGATGACCCCCCAGAGCCCCGGGGAAGGGCCGGGACGGGAAGAGCGGCGGTGCCGCCGGGCCGCCCCTTCCGCCGCGGTGCGCAGGGGCGCGCGGGGGACGCTGCGCCAACGGTCGGGAGGGCAGCGGAGCCGGCGATTGGGCGAGGGGTCGGCGCGCGGCGCAGCCGCCGGGCGCTGATAGGCCCGTGGCGGGAAGGGGCGGGGCGAGCGCGGTTCGCGCGCGCTGTTTCGAGCGCCCGGGGCCGTGGCGGCCATGGCGGCGGCCCCGGAGTTCCACCTGCCCCTCGCTCCCGCCGATCTGCTGCGGGATGGCGGCCCCGGGCGCTACGTGGTGCAGGAGGTGCTGCCCACCCGCGAGCTGCCGCCCGCACTGGCAGGTAAGGTGTTCCCATACCCCTTTCCCTGTCGGCCCGGTCCTGCCGCCGACTCACGGCCATCTCTCCCCGCCTCTCTCCGTGTTTTGCCGCAGCTTTCCGGGCCGCCTTCCGTGCGCAGGGCGCGCTGGCCGTGCTGCAGCACTTCGACTGCGTGTACAGCGTGCTGCAGTGAGTACGGGGCAGGGACGGGGAGCAGGGGCGGGCGCTCGCCCCTCTGCCAGGAGCTCTTTGCTCGCCACCCTTACGCCCTGTGTTTGTCCCGCAGCCACTTCCGAACCGTGGGCACGGCTGTCAAGGAGGATGCCCTGGAGCTGATGATGCACGGTGGGTACCCGCTGTTTCCGGCCGACGCAGCACTAAAGGAGAGGTTGTTTTCCCTTGGCAGCTCCGTGATGATATAAAGGCTAATGTGACTCGGCCAGCTGGGCTGCACCCTCAGCCCACTCCTGTCATACGGGTCTGTAATCTTGGTGGACAGTGCTGAGTTGTGCGTGTTCGCTGTAAGGGCAGACCGACAGAAAATCCTCTTGCCCTTGTCCCTGGAAAATACATCTGTGGGACGAATCAGCTCAGAGTGAGTGTTTCTCTGAGCTGAGGAGGGCTGTGGGGATAGGACAAGACAGCATGCCCCAGGCCTGGGTTGCAGGGGGCAGCCCACGTTACAGCTGGTGAGATGTGAGCACACATCTTTGGTAATCTGATGACTGCTCTAAGTCTCCCAAAGAGAGGATGGCTGAGGGACCTGGCAAGGAGTGCTCATGACTTTCTGCTTCTCCTCAGTGGTGTCCCATCATTCCAATGAACTTCCTAATATCTTGAGCAACTCTGGGCTGAGCCATGCCGACCGCGCTGCTCACCTCAATGCTCTTAAGATGAGCTGCTATTTGCTGACGGGCCTGATGGATGCCTTTGAAATGGAAACCTGCAAGAACAGTTGTTTGGAGGCAGATCCTGGTAGGAAGGTAGGTGAAGGAACTGGGGGAAAGATGATAAAAGAATAAAATTTTAAGCTTGCTGAACTCCGTACTATCTATCAGATTTTATAGCTGAATTTATATAAACGTAATGCTAGCAAGAGCAGTGGATAATGTGGAGCACTGGTGCTTCTGTGAAACTGCATGGAAAGCAGCCAAAGGGTCAGTCATGTGTCTAAACATCAGCAGGGACTTGGACACTCAGACTTTTCTATTTCATTCTTCAGTTTCTGGCTAGGGCTTAGTTTGCCAGTATTTTCTCAAGATTTCCTTTCTGTGGGTAGAGATGGTGGCAGCGGGTGCAGGTATAATCCTTAAACCACACAAAGCACTGGTGCTGCCCTGAGCTGAGGGAGAAGAATTAGGGGGAAAATGTCCCCTGTGGTCTCACACATCTCACTGTGTGTCTCTTAATGCTGTAGAATTTAACAGACTTCTTATATTTTGAAGGAGGCAGGGTAGTGATGGGGTTTTGTGAAGCTGCTGATGTATCTCACCATATAATCTCCTTTCTAGAACAGGAAGAACCATGCCAAGACTTCTGGATCCTCGTGGGAAGAGGAGAGGGAGCCGCTTTTACGGCTGCTTACACAGCTGCTGCAGCTGGATCTCTGTCAGCTTTGGGGTGGTTTAGCAGTGGAAGAAGAGTTTTTCAGGTATGAATTGGAGTGGGTGTATTTGTGGAATGAGTGACTGGTTCTGAGGAATAAAAAGTTAAACAATAGATTTATCAATGAGATTGTATTGCAGCCCACTGGGGTGCAGATCATTGGGAAACTGAGAAAACAGCTTGAGGCAAAACCATTGTGTGTAGGAACTGCTTCCTCTCCTCACACAGGCCACAAAAATTCAGATGTTTGCTAATTTTCAGAGGACATTGTAGAATCACTCAGGCAGAAACATGTGGTGTGCTAGAATGATGTTTGTAATAGTGAAGTTTGCTGTCTCTCTTCTGTGGTTTTAGCTTAATGACAGGAAGCTGCTACCGTATCCTGGAGAATCCAAGTATCGGCCTTCAGAGGTATCGTGTCACTCGGGAGGCTGTGACACATCTGCTTGCTGCAGCTCTGGTTCACTGTGACCACATGTTCAGTGAGTTCCTGCTCTTCTGCCTTCTTCCTGAAGCCATTGCCAGTTACTTTCCCTGACCTCTTTCTTCCTTCTCACATGTGAAAGGTGCCACTCTGAAGATCACACAGATGTTGCAGCACTTTGAACATGTAGCCCCAGTGTTTGCACAGGCTGTGAGCCTCTGGGCTAAAGAGTATGGTCTGAAAAGCCTGGTGGGTGAATTGCTAAGGTGAGAGAAATATCTGAAGCCTCGTCCTTCTATCCCTAGCCATCCTGAGGCACCCCATTCCTTGTTTCATCTTTCTGTGCAGGGAAATTGGACAGAAATGTCCCCAGGATTTGGCTCGTGAGGCTTCTGGAGTCAAGGGTTATGCTACTTTCATAAGTGAACTGGCTGAACAGATTCCAACTCTGGTGCTCTCCAACATGAGTGTTCTCCTGCCTCATTTGGATGGGGAGGTATGTTTCTGCAAAATCACCCATCCAGAAAAGTCAAATGGTAGAGATGCTGCTATCCAGTTTTTCTGTCTGGAAGCAGAACCTGTTTTGCAGAGTCCAAGTATCCAAAACCTGTTCTGTTGGAATAGGTTCTGCCCTTACCTAAAAGATGCAAAGGGAACAGAAACCATGACATCTACTGTCTGGTTGTCACTGTCAGATGGCAGAGAACAGGAGACTGCCTACTCATCTGAGGTCCCTGCTGTTGTCCCTTGTTCTTCAGCGCTTCATGAGTTTGTCACTGTGTTACCTTTTCTTTACCTGTTGTAAGTGTTTCTCATGTCAGTTCTTGGCTTCTATGAATTTACGTGGATAGCAGGGTTTGGGTTGGAAGGGACATTAACACCTCTGCCATGGCTAGGGACACCCTCGACTAAGCCAGGTGGCTCAAAGCCCCATCCAGCCTTGAACAGTTCTAGGGATGGGGCATCCACAGCTTCTCTGGAAAACCTGTTCAAGTGTCTCACCACATTCTCAATAAATAATTTCTTCCATATATCTAATCTAAACCTACCTTCGCTTTGAGGCCATTCTCTCTTGCCCTATCACTGCATGCCCTGGTAAAAAGTCCCTCTCCAGCTCTCTTATACCCCACTTTAGGTACTGGAAGGTGCCTTCCCAGAGCCTTCTCTTCTTCAGGCTGAACAAGACCAGCTCTCAGCCTGTCTTCATAGCAGAGGTTACTTTGTCTTGCAGGCACACTATGGTCACCCAAGCTTAATATATAATACAGCTGTATACATACTTACTAATTAATACTGAAAAAAATCACTTAGGGCTGAAGCCTGGGATTTGGAAGGCCCAAACTCTGAGTATATCAAGTAATGTCTTTTAGTCTGTTCTTAGTTCAACAACTCCTGTCTTGGCAGAGTTACATGATGCGAAATGCCATTCTGGCAGCTATGGCAGAAGTGCTGGTGCAGGTGCTGAACGGTGACCAGCTGGAGGAAGCTGCCCGTGGTACTCGAGACAAGTTCCTGGATATACTGCAGGCCCACGTGTGTGACGTCCATAGCTTTGTTCGCAGCCGCGTGCTGCAGCTCTTCACCCGCATTGTTCAGTGCAAGGCAAGTTTCTGCTGGGCAAATGGTGTTGCCTCAGTCATCTCTTCCCAGCTTGATTCTGAGGGAATTTCTGCCACCCTGCTTTTTGTTTGCAGAGACTGAAGTTTTAACTGAGAAAAGTGTTGTCCTTGTGTGCTGTGGTGTCTGAAATGTCTTCCAAAAGACCAAAGATCCCAGAAAAGGGGGAACTGGGGGATGGAAATGAAATGTTGTTCATTCTTACCAGGACAAACTAGAAAAAAGAGCATAGCATACAGCCTCTTTTCACACACTGGTATAGGAAAACATCACAATTACCAGATACACCAAAACTCAACAGGATCCTGCACAACCTAAATCCTTGTTTTCAGAGGCTGGACCAGAATATATCCAGAGATCTTTTGAGCCCTAGACTTTTCTGTAAATCTATAATCTGTGCTTTTTAGTACATGAATATGTCTGCAGTAAACTTTTCCCAAGTCTCTGAGCCTTCTTGATAATTTTATCTGTGCTCTTGTGTTCTAGGCCCTGCCTTTGACTCAGTTTCAATCTGCGGTGTCCCTGGCTGTGGGGCGGCTCCAAGACAAGTCTGTCATAGTGGTTAAAAATGCGATCCAGCTCCTGGCTGCATTTTTGTCCAACAATCCCTTCTCCAGCAAGGTAAATCAAATTAATATGGTGGATATGTTAGATGTCTGCTTGCAGGCTAAATATCTGCAGTGTGCTATAGCCAGGGCAGTAGCATTTCTGTGACTTGTGGGAGGAACAATGTAGCCTTTGACTGCAGGTGGCAGCTTTCTGGTCTTCCCAGGTTCAGATTTTGAGTTCTTGGACTCATCCCTCTCTTGGTGAAATTCATAGCTATGCTGAAGACCAGGAGGGATGTGATTGAGGTAAAAACCTACAGCAGTTTGAGTCCACTGTGAGGTTTCTCTCCTTAGGATCAGAATTAGTTCTTTAGAATACTCTTCATGGGTCTGCAGCTTTTTGTGTTTAGCTGCACCTTCTCCTGAGGTTCTGAGCCTTAGACTGGCAACTTAGGGCAGTTGTCATTCTAGGACTGGGCCAGAGTCTACTATTCCAGTTTCCAAATTAGCATAGATTAG